GATGGCTGAACACCTGCCTGCCCATGGGAAGCAGCGAAGGAATTCCTTGTTTTGCTTTCCCTATTAAACTGTCTTTATCCCAACCCATGAGCTGTCTCACTTTTACCCTTCCGATTCTCTCCCCCATCCCACCGGGGGGGAGCGAGCGAGCGGCGGGGTGGGGCGCGGTTGCCGGCTGAGGTTAAACCACGACAGCAGCACTAACCGGGGAAGAGGTGCCACGCTCACCTTCTCGCACGGGGCCAGCCTTTCGCTTGGCAGTGGTGGCAGGCTGCGGAGCTTGCGGTTTAGGCACCTTCATCTGAAAACGAGCCTGAGGAGGAGGGACGAGGAGCTGCTAAAGGCCACAGATGCAACGGCCAGCTCGGGAAGCCTCCAAGCCACCCGGCGTGAAGGACACACCGGACAAACCATGCTGGTTTTGCACCCTCTCCCCGGGTATCCCCAGCAGCCTCTGCCTGGGTCGAGGGTACTAGCCCGGATTTTTGGTCTTGGACCCAGCACAGGCACTCGTACGAGGCATCACCCTGAGCCGCAGCAACTCAGCGAGGCTGCAGTGGCTTCAGTGCTTCAAGCAGGACATCCCTCCCTCGCCAGGGCTCCCAGCTAGGTCAGGGGGCTGAAATCCGGCAGACCTGGGGGGATGAAAACCCTGACCAAGTGGACATCGGCCTCTGCTTTCACAGGCACGAGAAGCCAAAGAGATTGGAAGAACAAAGAGATTGGAAGAACAGCACCGATGAGAAAGATTTCGTAGAAACTATTTTTCTTCCCCGCGTTTAACTATGAATTTGGGTATTTGATTCCCTGAAAAACGGCTATTTTCTATGTGCAACTCCGGGCTTTGAAAAATACAATATGGAAAGACTATTTTGAGCTGGAAAAGCCGTTGTGGTGTTTTTCCACCGAGCTGGGGTTTGCCTTTCCCCACCCTGCGCTGCAGGCAGCGCTCTGGGAACAGATGTTCAAGGACACGGCAGCTCCGCGAGGAGCGGAACGCACGGCCTGCCACAGCACTGCTCGTCTCGCCGGGAAGCCGCAGACGGGGAAAGCACAACACGCTGAGCCGCGGCTCCCGCGAGGACGGGGGCATTTCCAAATGGAAATCTCGGGAGAGTTTTTTGGCTACAAAATTTCTGCTGGAAAGTTAGAAGCTTTAAAAAAAAAACCCCAACCAACCAACCAACCCACCCACCCTGTTTTTCCCTCTAGACTCACAGCTGAGATAAGGGGAAGGCTCGGAGACACCACCCTGTTTTTCCCTCTAGACTCACGGCTGAGATAAGGGGAAGGCTCGGAGACACAAACGGCGTTTACTCACCTCGTTTGCATCTGTACCTTAAAAGAACGAACCCCCTTACCCTCTCCTCTTTTTATTTCCTACCAAGACCGCACCGCTTCCGTGCTCCGTCTTCGTTCATGCGGTTGGGGAAGAAAACAGAGACTAGATCTCATCGGATGGAGCCGGATGGGTCCCGGGAAAGCTGGATGTAACCAAGTAACGAGGATCCCAGCGACAGGCTCGACTGGGAGGATTTAAAGATAGAAACCAAAGTAGGAGCGAACCAAGCCCTGGAAGAGTGCCGTCCCCTTCCCACACGCACCAGACCCCGAAGCAGCACGACTTGATGCTTGGAGCAGGCAGCCGCCAGCGGGAGATGACGCAGTCGCCGGCAGGGAGGGCTGCTTTGGTGGCTGGTTTGTTTGGGGTTTTTTTGTTTTTGTGTTGTTTTTCTTGAGGGCAAATAGAAAGTATCAGACACAGATGAGGCTTTTTTAAAACGCTTTTACAGTTGTTAGAGTTTTGTACAAATCAAAGCATCCCTTTTAAAATCTCCATTATTACAAACATACAAAGAAACAATGTTATTACTACAAATCGTCGGCTACTCAACTGCATGATCAATTTATCACAATTAAAAAAAAAAACAAACCATAATAGTACATACAGGGCCTTCCTCCCTCTGTTTATTTCTCTACCTCGAGGGAAGTGAAAAAGCAAAGCCCCCGTTTAAAAAAAAAAAATCCCACCAATGCACCTCATTTTCTAAAAACCGGTGAAGTACAAAATTACGTGAGTATTTTCCTGCTGTCACACTCTGGCAAAGTGTAACAGCTTCTTTTTTTTTTTCTTTTTTTTCCTTGTTTTCACATCAGAAGTCTCTTAAAAAAAAGAACAAAAAACCACATGGCAGAGTGTCTGATGCTGCAGCGTGCTCCTTCCATGCCGGAAGCCAACATCATCCAAAAAAAAGTGCCTTTGAGCAAAGTCATCTTTAGTAACAAAAAAAAAAAAGAAAAAGGATGAGGGAGGGGGAAAAAAAAATCACAATCTCTAGTTAAAAGCGTAATAAAACCCCTGACAGAGCAGCCGGCCCTGCATCACAAAGGACGATTTCTCCTCTTCGCTACCTACCTTCAGCGCCGCTCCGGACTAAGGTTTCATCCCCTACTCCTCCGCCCCCGGGGGGTCTCCAAACCCCGAGATGTTTCTTCGCACCCTGACCGGAGCTGGGTGCCGGGATGCCGAGGAGCGCTCCCTGCCAGCCCAGAGCCGGGCGGTGCTTTGCTCCCCCCCAACCCCACTCCCCCCAACAGTGGCCAAGTGCTTTTTAGCCCACCCGCCCCCGAGAGACGCACTGCGGACGGGGCCCGGGGAGCGCCCACCCCGGCTGGCCTCGCTGGAAGGGTCCTGCGGTCTCTGTGCCGTTTCCGAGAAGCGCATCCCTGTCAGGAGGAACTTTCGTAGCCCTTTTATTCTGCTGGCTTTTCATCAGCAGGGAGAAACGGCCCCGGAGAGCCCCAAGAAACGCTCCCCGGAC